AATGTGATGCATTTTGACCCTGTGGATGTATTCTATCTTTGCCTTGTGTATTTCGTTCCCAGTTGTGTTCATTGTGCCCTGATGAATGTGAATCTAAATGTAGGAGTGTACTATGTTTCCTACCACAAATTTTGCAACCCCTCATTGTACAATTTTGAGCTGTATGACCTTCCCGTAAACAATTCCAACAACCCTTGACTTTATCAACTTCTGATCGTCTTACAGAGATAGATAATTTGTGAAATGATTTGCACCCATAAAGATAATGTGACTGCCCACAAAGATGACACTGTTTGTGTGACGTTAAAAATGTTTTTGAAAAAGGAGCCCTTTCATACTTACGTTTTGTTTCAGAGGATGACTTGGGTTTGTCTTTATCTTCTTCTGAGTTTTCTAGGCTGTGTACCTTTTGATCTAAGAATGATAAAAAATCTGTGATTTTGAGAAACTCATTAAGTGGCCCTATTTTTTGCCATTCCCTTTTTGTGTTTTTATCCAATTTTTTCTCTAATATACAAATTAAAATAACATCCCATTGTTCTACTGAATAACCCAATGTCTTTAATGCCTTTAAATCTTTTTTAATTGAAGTAGAGAATTTTTTTAATTCGTATGAGGTTTCATTATTTATATGTGGATATTCATTTAACTTATCAATGTGACTGCGTGCTATTAACTTTTTGCGTTCATATGTTTCACCTAATAAATGCCATGCAAAATTAAAATTTGTGTTTGTAGTTGGTAACTCATCCAATGCCCCAACTGCCCTATCAACTAATGATTTTTTCAAATAGTGTAGTTTGTCTACATCAGTTAATTCTGAATTATTGATTATTAAACTTGTAAACCCATCCCTAAACTCTAACCAGCCATGAAATGAACCGTTAAATGTTGGTACCTCTAAAGGAGGTAGTTTTACATTTTTTGATGAAGCTTTCCCTGTGTCAAATTGTGTATCTGATTGATTTGAAACAGAGTCAATTTTATTCAAAAACCCTTCTGCTATGCCAATTAATTCAAAATATAAATCTTGAAAATCTAATCTTTCATTTAGCTGTGAATCAAAATCTAAGTCACTATCAATGCCCTCGCTAGATGCAAATTTTTCAATGCTTTCTTGTACAGTATCAAAATCTCTCCACCACTCTCTACATTTTTCAATTCTACCTGGTAGCTGTGATGCATTAGCATCTGAATAATTATTTAAAAATGTTTGAAATCGTGTCATTTGAGCCTTAATTGTGCTCCTCCTTTTTTTTAAATTTGTTAGTTCTGCCATAATTTTTATTGAATTTATTACCTTTTTATACTATCTATTACAAGTAATATATGACCCAGAGATGTTTTAATAACTTAGTAATAAAGGAACAAAAAATTGACACAGACTGATCATGTAAATTTGTTTAAATAATAGGTATGGAAATGATTTGTTTGAAAAGGATACTGTGTACTCACGTGGTGTTTTTATGTATGTATGTATATTGGTTTCTGGTTACCTTTGCCTCTTTACCATAAATTGTTGTAGTTCTATAATTGTGTATGTGTGAATATCGACTTCTTCGATTCCCAATGTGTGATAATATATATTCCCTTTATAACTTCTAAAATGTGTTTTGCCGGAAAATGGCGCCCATTGTTTTGTCTAATAATCCATTAATTCGTCTCGAAGACCATGTTTTGTATTGGATTGCCGTAGTTTTGATATAAATTAAATCCGTTCGATTTTTGTGGACTGTATATTTTTCTAATTTACAAATAATATTGTATCCTAACTAACAAATCAAAAAAGAACTCTAAAATCTAAACTGTCTGTTTACGTCGCCATCGTGGATCTCTCTCTCGTCGTCGTTGACACTTGCTCACGAGTCGGCGCGTGGATGCCGCGCACAGAGTCGGCCTTGCTACACTGTTCACATGGGTTCTACTAAGCGATAGAAGTTTGACAGTTCAACGTCAGCTCAGGCATTTTTAACCTCACATATTTCTATTTGTGTGTAATTGTCAATAGAAAGCTTAATAATTATCTGTTACTGTAGTGTTATATTATAAAAAATGAATAACTTTGAAAATTTAACTGACGATGAAGATTTTCTGGAAATGATAAATATTGTAGACGGAAGAAGAACACAAAAACAATTTAGGACCAGAGACAATCATTTTGAAAAATGGAATGATAATGAATTTTTGCAAAGATTTAGGTTATCTAAAGATACAGTTCATTATTTACATCAAAATATTGCTGATAAAATAAAAAATCCAAATAAATATAAAAAATATACTTCTAAAAACAATTTTTCACATGAAAATAAACATATTGCAAGAATAAAATTTACGTACCTATTCAAATGGTTTATTCATAAATTTAACTTAGGGAAACGATTAAAAATTAAACTAAATAATTAAATTAAACTAATATTAAATAACAGAATTATTAGTGGCCTTATATTCACAAAAACCGTTCAAAAACTAAATAATATAAAATTAGCGGGAAAATTGAGATTTAATCTCTAAATGAATACGCATGCGTTACGTTGCCAACCTTATCAAAATTTGTATGAGTCTTGGTTTAACTAAACTTGCCATTGAACAACCCTCATGAAGTTGAACCCACGCTCAAATTTGAGGCCGGTTCAATTAAGCGATCGCTTAAGCCTGCAATGTACAATCGGGCCTTAATGAACGTTGCGGAAATGAAAATGCTTACATAGATGAGTGAAATTACAAATATTTTGGTTAAATATACACTTAATAATTTGTTATCAGAACAAAAGTCGATTTTAACCCAAATTGTTTCACGTATCTCTTTCCCAAAATACAGCTTTCAATAATATCACTAATCTTTCACGATTTCCAGTATTACTGTTTTTGTAAAATAATTAAAATTATTTATATTTTAAAATAATTTGCTTTACCAGTGTTAAACCTACATTTAATGTTTTTAAAGAAATTCTTTACTTAGTTCTGACTATTTAACAATTAAAAATATTATTTCTTAAATATTTTGACAATACCTGTTTTTGATTTTGAAAGACTATCATTTCTAACAAATGTCATTCGACAGTAACTTCAAAATCTTCTTTTGTACTTTGTTATGGCCTCTTTTCACATAGCCAATTTTCTAATCTCAAAAATGTTTTTTATTCAATCAAGTATTCAATCAATGTATTCGCGTTCTCATACGACTATAGGTGGCAGCACTTGTTTTGAAAGATGACGGACGAAATAGGGATATCGTTTGTTGACATTGTAAATTTGATAGGGAATTTTAAAAGATCCTAGTTGAAGGGCAAGCAATTTTAGTATTATTTGAGGAATATTATCATGTAGTGGGAAAACCGCAGTGATACAAGCATTGTTCCTTCAAATGAGCGGTTTGAGAGAAGTACCCACCAAATACAAGTAAAAATTAAAGAGATTGATAATATTAAAAACGTTAAAATGCGTTAGGCTTTCACGGCCATCGTCTTGTTAAACTGTTTGTTTTGGCTGTTAGGTTAGGTTAGGTTAGTGAGGTATTTATTTCTCCAGATTGTGTTGTTGAGACATCCTGCTGCTCTGTTTGCCATGTTCACTTGTTTTTGTACTTCGTCTTCCACTTTTCCGTAGCTTGACAGGTTTATTCCCAAGTATTCAGTTTCCATCACTTGTTCTATTATTTTGTTATTTACGACTAGGTAGTTTACATCGTCTCGGCTCCGCTGATATCACTATCGCTTTAGTTTTCTCTGTTGAGATCACCATGTTGTATATGAGCGCCGTATCTTCGAATTCTTTAATTACTATTTGTAGGTCATCTTCATTTTCGGCTGTTATTATGGCGTCGCCGGCGTAGCATATTATCCTTATTTCCTTTTCTCCCATTACAGATTACAATACTGGAAAATCTTCCATGGATTTATCTGATCCACTGGCTAGTTATGATTCGGCATTACAACGCAGCTTGAAGTGGTATAGAAAACTAGCCATAAAGTTGTTGTTAGGTACATATATTGTCAATACTCGCTTTTTGTACAAAGAAATTACATTGAAAAATATAACTGTTCATGAATTCAGAGAACATATTGTAACAGAACTTTTGAACACTGCTAATAAAACTTTACCACCAAATACACCTTAAAATCCTTAAGGCTGTTTTATCGGTGCACCAAAACCTAGTGACAGTGTTTTCTCTGTTATTTATCGACAAAATGTCTTGAAATTTGGACAGGTTATTCGAAATTATGTTGCCTCTAAAATGATGGTTTTACTTTTTTTTTATTTTTTTTTTATTTTTTTGAAACTTTTGTTGAAAAATTGGATTATACTGTTTAACGTTCTATTATAACCAAATTTTTTACGCCCATCACTTAAAACAGTTTTTTTTCTATAATCGTTGATTTCCAACTTTGAAGAAAATTGTTAAAAAATACTAAAATCCAATAATGAAACATGTTACTCATCATTGGCACAGTTTCATCGTTATCGCCTTCTTGACGTCAAATCTCATGAATGTACGATCAGTTAGTTCGTGTTAAAACTAATTTGAATGGAGAATAATGCATTTGTTGTCACTAAACTACCCGTCGGCCGGCGCCACTGAGTAAAGCTGGTCTGGCGTAAGCAGTGTAGAAAAGTAAGTGATACGCCCATTTCAAATCGCAGTGTGCTTTGACTGCTAAAACAGCCTTAACTACCAAAACAAAACTCGATATCCAATCATAAATTTGTAAAAAAAGAAGGCAGTTCAAGAGTGCCAATGTGTCTTTCTTGTTTTAATAAAATACATTATAATTAGTTGCTATGTATACTATTTTTTATGAAAGTAAATATCTGTCTTTAAAACTAATATTTTTGTAACCTAAAAAAAGCAGTCCCGTAAGAAAATTTAAAGAGTACACAGGATTTGCAGACACTGTGAAAGTATAGTCAAAAATGTGTATGAAGTCAGCAGACACGGGTGTCTGCTGTGGCACTAACCTTGTTAAAAAATAAAATCAGATGAACTTATGACAAAAACTCACCTTTTCTTTCGAATGTTCCCACGTATGTTTAAGTAACGTTCGTCGATCCTTACACGATCGACCGCACAACATACAGCTATGGGGAGGTAGATTTTTTCCATGTTTAGCCTAAAAATGTACATAAATAAATATCGTGTCTTATTTTTAAAAGCGTGGTCATACCGACCACTACAAATTACTTACTTGAACATGAACCGCTAATAAATTCTCCTCTTCGGCATTTTCTCCACATATCATACATTTGTACTCAAGTATTCTGGCATGTACTTCCGCATGAGCCAGTAAATCTAACGCTTCTTGGAAAGATTCTCCACATACGTTACATATGTGACCGAATTCGTCCTTCACGTGAATCCTTTGGTGTCTGCGAAGATTGTCTTGTCTGAAAAATTAAAATTTATTGTTATATTCGTACTTTTGGAAGTTCTAGACAAAGTCAAATGGACAATAAACTCATTTGAGCCATAGACATAGCCATAAACCTGGACGGTAATTATCCAATACTTCTACAGAAGGGAATTGATCTTTTGTACAGAAAAATATGTACTACAAGTATGCTTAGAACGAATGTATACACCAAGAGTATAGAAAATCATAAGGGTAATTTTTACAGTTCAGTCAATGTGGGTATTAGATTAGGCTCCAAATTCCGTCTTAATGTATCAATTTACTTGATATATTCATAGTAAGTAGGGACTAGCTCAAGATCTAGTCTACCTTATGCCAAAGAATGCTTTTAAAAATTTGCCATTTTCATTGAAAAATAACAACTGTGTATCTAACGAAAAAAGTGTAAAAAATATTTTTGTAGCTTATGAAATAACAAAGAGATTAGTACATTTGTCAAAATAATTTGACAAAAAAATAAAATGTTTGGCGGAGGACGTGCCCCTATTTTGGGATTAAGTCAAAATACCAAACGAGAATCCGGCCGAAAAGTTCAGCTGGAAAACATCAATGTTGGAAAACAAACCACGAACGTGATAAGGACATGCCTTGGTCCTCAAGCTATGTTAAAAATGCTTATGGATCCAATGGGAGGCATTGTGATGACTAATGATGGCAATGCTATTTTACGTGAAATTACAGTACAACATCTATCTGCTAAAAGTATGATTGAAATTGCAAGAACACAAGATGAAGAAGTTGGAGATGGTACTACCTCAGTAATTGTCTTAGCAGGAAAAATGTTAGTGGCAGCTGAACAGTTTTTGGAACAACACATTCACCCAAGAATCATAATTCGCCAATACAGACAAGCACTTGAAGATATGATCCAGTTATTGGAAGGTCCATTGAGTATACCAGTCGATAGAAATGATAAAAATGCTCTTGCACAAGTTGTTAAAGGCTGCATTGGAACAAATTCATAAGTCAATAGTCAGATTTGGCAGTAAATATTGCTTTAGATGCAGCAAACACAGTATTATTAGAAGAAAATGGCAGAACTGAAGTTGATATTAAGAGGTATGCCAAAATTGAGAAGATTCCTGGGGGATCTATTGAAGAGTCTAAAATTTTGAAAGGTGTTATGCTTAATAAAGATGTAACAGATCCCAAAATGAAAAGATATATACAGAATCCAAGAATAATACTTTTGGATTGCGCATTAGACTATAAAAAAGGGGAATCTCAAACAAATGTATAAATCACAGCAGAAACAGACTTCTCCAAACTATTAGAACTGAAAGAAATTGGTACCTATTAAAATTTGAATACTAAACTTACCTATGAAACGATAAACCACAAGTTGAACAATAATAAGTTCCATACTTTGTCTCCTCTTCAGAATAGTCTTCGTCATCGTCATCTTCATAATCGTCGACATCACCGTGCTTTTCCTTAATATGGTCTTTCATTTGCATCATATCCCAATACATTTCCCCGCACTTTTGACATTCAAATGGACTGTCTCCTTCTGCATGCAACCTGAAACATAAATTTTGAGAAAACTAATGAATTTTTAATGCAATAAACATATATACTGATATGCATTGTTTTTTATTTTTTTTTTCAAATGGTAATGAAAAGCGAAAATGGTTGTTTTCAATTTGACTAGATTTTTTGATATTTCGGAGCATTTACCTAATATGAGATATCATGGCCTTTTCTCTTGCAAATCCTACCCCGCAGTGCTGACAAACGAAAGGTTTTTTCGGATCTATGACCGGATATCGTATTTCTGTAGGTTGTTGAATTTCTTCCTGAGGCATATAATCATAGTCTTGCTTGATATTGTTGGTCATTTGTTCCATCATCTTTACATCTTCTTCCACATAATTAAAAGTACGGGAACTTGAAGCTGCTAAATAAAAAAATTAAATAACATTGAAATATGTAGAAAAATATTGCGAAAATATTCATCACCTATGAAAGTGGGATATCAATGAATGTGACTAAAAATGAGTGAAGACCGACAGGTATTGATTGGTATTATTATGTACGAAATTTTAGACAGATAAGCCAGAAAAAATAGTGAATATGAAACTTAGGAGTTATAAGTAATACTTACCAATATTATCTTCAAATTGGTCATACTCTTCTTTTACTTTTTTCTTTTTCTTTTTGACTAATTGTTTCATCTTTTTTTTCTTTTCCACGCTGTCATCTAATTCATCTACAGTTTGGGCATTTTCATCTTCTAAGCCGTCTACGTCTGGGATGTATGCATGTGTCTGTAATGAACAATTTTTGAAATGATAATAAATCTTTAAAACGCACAAAAATAAATTAGGCATATGTTTTACAAAAATTACAACATGATAACATTGCCAAAAGGACATTACATCGTATTGTCGATGTTATTGGTTCGAGAAATTATGAATTTGTCAAAAAATGTCACTTTTAGCTGTCAAAAAAAACTGAAAATAGAACAACCATAATGAAGTATCAAATTATAAGGTATTAATTTAAACAAATGTTATACATTTCAAACATTTTAATTAAAATGAGTTCCTACAACATAATCTAATACGTAGAAAATTAACATCTTTACTGTCACTTTGTATTATCTCTACGATAGAATCAATTGTTTTTAAATTTTAAATTTTTACTCATAGATCGTATTGGGGCATTATTTTCGATAAATAATAAATTAAATTGATTAAAAAGTCAAACCTCTTGTATGTGTTAGTTTTTGTTGATTGTAAATGATTAAAATTTTATGTCAAATAATAATACATTGCATCAACTGTACTAAATACAAATAAATCTAAAAAAGTTTAAAATGAAGGTTGGCGTTGACCGTTTGACGTTTCTTGATATTTTATAACCATTGTCATTATTGTCATTATCAATTGTTATCTATGTGTATAAGAATACATATTTCTTCTGTCATATCTACATTAAGTACATTGTGTTAGTTTTGGTAGAGCTTTTGTTACTTTCGTTCAAAATACCACATCAATTTTCGACCACAGAATATGCAGACATAATATTTGTTTATGGATTCTGTAATGGGAATGGTAGGGCTGCTAGTACAGAATATCGCAAGAGATTTCCTAATCGTCGAACTCCCAGTCATTCAACATTTCGGTCAGTTTTTAATTATTTGCGAGAAAATGGCACTTTTCCTAGTGGAACAACAGAGCGACATGTAGATGAAGCGCAGGAAGATGACATTATGGACGCAGTTACTATGAACCCTACAATAAGCACTAGACAAGTAAGTCGAGAACTCAATGTTACTCAATCAAAAGTAAGTAGAGTCTTACAAAAAAATAATCTATACCCATATCACATTCAAATGGTTCAGCGACTACATGCTGGAGATGAGATCTATAGGTTGGAATTTTGTAGATGGATTAACAATAATCGACCAACGCTATACAGGACACTATTTACAGATGAAGCCCAATTTACCAGAGACGGGATAAATAATTCACGAAATTCACATGTGTGGGCAGAAGAAAATCCCCATGCTATTCGAGAACGTCGTTCTCAGTTAAGGTGTTCGGTTAACGTGTGGATTGGTGTCATAAATAACCAATTAGTAGGTCCTCACTTTTTTAATGGTCCTTTAACAGGGCAGGTCTATTTGAACTTTCCACAAAATATTTTGCCGAATTTGCTTGCCAACGCGAACGTTGCTATCCGAGGGATGTATTTTCAGCATGATGGGGCACCCCCACACTTTTTACTGCCAGTGAGACAACATCTCAATAATGTTTATGGCAACAGGTGGATAGGACGTGCAGGTCCTATTTCGTGGCCTTCAAGATCCCCTGATTTCAATCCCGTTGATTACCATATTTGGAGACGATTGAAGCAACTAGTTTACGCAGTGAATATTAATAACCGACAACAATTAATTGATAGAATTATACATTGTTGTAATACTATTAGAAACGATCCCCAGAGTATCCGTAATTCAATACGTCAATTAACAATTCGGCAACAAAAATGTGTACAGGCTGCAGGGTTCCATTTCGAAAATCTATTTTGAATTATTTTTATTTTGTTACCATTATTGTATCTTTTCCAGTTCTAATTTATGGGTTTATCATAACTATGTACATATTTTTAGTTTTTTTTTTAATTGTTCTTCGTTATTGTTAGTAGTTACTGTTTTTTGTTGTGCAGTGACTCAGTTTATCATTTCAATTAAAATATTTGAAATTTATAACATTTGTTTAAATTAATTACCTTATAATTTGATACTTCATTATGGTTGTTCTATTTTTGGTAAGATTTGATCGTTCACTAAAAATTTAATAAAAGTGCGACAACATTGTCGCATATGTCGTTTTCATTGGCTATTTATATAGTTTGAAAATCATTTATTGCATTTTCAAAAAAATATATACAGGGTATAATATTTAATACGAATCCCTAAATTAATTTTTCCAAAGCCAGTCCTGGAATTTTTTAGTTTAGCTAATACCAGTCGAATGCTTGATAGTAGTGTACTGTATCATGCAAAAATTAAAAAAATCAAATGAGCCGTATAAACACTACAGTAAAATGAAATAAATGGTCAATTACACAAATCACCCTGTTAATTAATAAAGAAGAGGAGTTGACATTTTTTAGTGGCTACATGATATGCTCCCTGAGGGACTCTACATATGGTAGAAGTATGTAAAGTTCCTCATCACTCACCCTGTATATATAGGTAATAATGTAGGAAGTATTTTATAGCATGCAATTAGTCACTTTCATTCAAAAAAAAATTTAATCTGTGTAACATTAAGTAAACACCCCTTCGATATATATTTAGGGTATCGAAATATTCGATTTCATATTAATATACTTCGGTTTTTTAACTAACATTATGCTCTTAATATACATATGTTGATTGTGTTGATTAGTTCCGCTCAGGTGATTAAATCAGCAACGATTCTTTTGTAGGAATTTCAATCGATAATATATCGTAAGCGATTTATATTACACATGATAATCGCGCCTCCTACAGACAATTTAATAAACGCTATAAAAAGTACAAATATTTACACAAATTAGGCCAAACGCTTACATTACTAACCCAAATACCCGATATTATAATCGTTGATTAAAAATCAATACGACATATTGCGATATTCACAGAATATACTAAGCACAGTCCTACGGTTTAACATTTTGTTTTTAGATTATGGCGACGAAAGTTCTTCCGCCACAGACTTTGGTCCCAAAAAAATATTTCCGCATCCCCATTCTTCTTTATGTCTTATTCGTATTCAACGGTGTGATTCCTCCTTACGAATTTAAATACAGGCGACTAGGAAATCTAAGGCTTTTTCGAGTGAGTTCATCGTTTCTGGTATTACTAGGAATAGTCGTAACCACGTTTTCGGAAATCAGAAGGTTTAGAAATTTCTTAAACGTAATACCTTCTATTAAGCTTTTGAAAATTTTGGACGTATCAATACAATTCATGGGACTTACTGTGGTGATTTTAACGAACTATTCTTCAGCGTATACGAAAACAGAAATGTGGTGTAAACTCTTTGAAAAATTAAACGAAATACAAGAACAAAAATTGTGGAAACGGGAGAAAAAGATATATCTGGATTATATTTTAATTTTTTTTGGTATGTTTCTTTTGCTCATCTACACGATATACAACCTGAACTACGGATTTACCATTGGATTCTATTACTATTGTGATATTTTCTTTTATATCAATCAACTACTGATAGCTCTCCTTATTTGCCATATAATATTTCCGATAAAAAGAAGATACGTGGAATTGAACAAGACCTTAAAAATTTTGCATACGATCAAAAGCTTTAAAATACGATTAGATACGTTGGAAAAACTGGAAGAAGTGTATTTCGATCTACTGGATATCGTAAATTTGTTTAACTGCATATTTGGATGGCCCATGTTGGTTTTAACGAGCTACTATTGGTTAATGCTGCTAGCATCTTTGTCACTTTCTACTATAGTGATACGGACTGATTTAGTCATTTACTATATTACGCTATCTGTAGTTACATCGGTAAGTAAATTTTCTTCTTCATGTTTATTAAACACAGACTATACAATGTGTCAATTTTAAAACTTACAATGGGCTATATTTCACGAACAAAAGTTGATATCGAAAAATGCTTGAAACAATTTCTAGGATAGTAACCATCGAGTTAGAATCTATGGAGAAGCTATGAGCATATTAACATATGTATTAAAAACGGCGTAGGTAGGTGTGGCTAACGATAATACCAATATGGCGGTGGGATCAGGGCCAGACCCAATAGTATTAAAACTACTATACAAATATGACTAGTTATTCAGAAGTTTTAATCGTAATCTAAAAAAGTGCGAAAAATTTTAATAAACTATGATTTATTTATCCCGCGGTAAACACAAAAAGCACGATGTATTATACATAAAGATAAATAAACTGAAAATTGTTTATTAACATTGCTTCTGCTACTGCAACTACGTTGAGAACAAGAAACCATTATTATGCGCTATCACAATACATTATTACAGTTTCTATAAAAGTATTATAAAACTAAAATATACGAAAAATAACAAATGTAAACAAATATATACGATCTGTCAAAAGTGTCAAAATAATATTAACAATATGGCCGAAGTGAGGTCGTTTTTAGTCACAGGATGCGCTCTCCATAGATTCTAACTCGATGATAGTAACCCACACACCACAACCAAAAAAGAAAAGACTATAAAAAATGCTATCTATCCAATGGTATAAATAATAATTATACAGGGTGAAGCAATAATTATGGAACTTTGACTTAAGGGGAAATTTAATGAGGTTCTTGTTGAACTACAAATTTGTTAAAAATGTCAATTAAGTAAATGTTCAAAGTGGGTTCCGTTGTTTTGTAAACAATAATACAGCCTATTTTCAAATTCTGCACGAACTTTGGTTAATGTTGTTCTAGTCGTAGCGCGACATGCTTGCGTAATTCTTTCTCGTAATTCCCAAAGTGACGCAGGTTGACTTTTATAAACAACTGACTTGAGGTAATCCCATAGAAAAAAGTCAGGTGGAGGTAAGTCTGGTAACCTCGGTGGTACTCAATAGGAGCTCTCCTTCTAATCCATCTATTTTTCAACTCTTTTCCATAATTAGTATCCAACCAGCGCCTAACTGGATCTGCATAGTGAGGAGGTGCTCCATCTTGTTGAAATTGTAGCAAATCTTCAACAAGAGCTAGGTTACCTTGATCGTCCCTTTGGTTCTCTAATTCATGCACAATTAAAG